GCCTGATGCGATGGTATGGCGTTCGTTGGCGGCTCTAGGAACTTTTTAGCGGAGCCATTCCATAAATTGAACGGATGATACATCATAACCTTTTAACCCCTTCGTGCGTGATAAATGCGCCGGTATAGGAAAGCGCAGCTATACAGGCGCTCGGAAAAGAGAGCCGCGGGATGGGATGGCAAGTTTATGATCCGCCTTGCGCGCCTCACTGCACCGAGCGACAGAGACGAAGCAGGTCGAGAGGGGAAAGGGGCCAGGGCACCGCGAGCAGATATCAGTGTGTCATTCTGCGGCTGACGGAAGGGCACGGCGCGGCACGGCGGGGCACGGCCGGGCACGCACTCCAACCCCCGGCAACGCTCGCATCGCATTGGCCGTGCCCGCCCCAGTCAGTCGCGGAGAGGGAGAAAGTGCGGAAGATGTCAAACAAAAGACCCGCAGCTCCCCCCCCTTCCCCACTCCTCCTCCTTCTCCTTCATCGCACCAGAGGAGTTCCCTCGGGAGTTCGTTCTGCAATCCCGTCGTCCACTTCGCAGCCTCCCTCCCTGCCACCTGCTCAAGGGGTAAACCACTCCACGCGCACAGCACAGGGGCGTTGCGGGTGTGACGATTTTGTTCCAGAAACGGCTTTGTTTTTCGCGTGCATCATTTGGTGGGCACAATTGTAATTGTGCCAATTCATGCCGATAATCTCATCCGACCCCGTAAAAATTCTTCTTTAATTTCATTCATTTGTTACAAAGCAAACCACTAGTAAAGTTCTTCCGAACGTATCACATCTTCTGGGTTATTGTTGTTTTTATTTTTTTAAACTGTTGGTGTGACGAATAATGCCAAAGAGTGTTGCAAAATGTGTTCCCGTTCGTTTCTGACTTCCAAAAACAACAACAGCAGCCTCGCATAACGAGCGTACTATCGGGGCGGGATACGAAAGGAGATACGGCGAGGCGACAAACGACGGTCATGTTTCGGCCATTTATGTTCCGGTAGCGTAACCCTATTCAGCCCTCCGCTCTTCGCGGCGTTACTGCGCGTCACGTAACGGCTGTTGTCTGAGCGGGACTGGCGCTGGCGAGCAGCGAGAGACTGCGAGAGGGAGAGAGCAAGAGAGAGATAGACACTTGTGTGTGCGTGACAGCCTCCATTTAGTAGGGAATTTTCTTGTTGATCTCCAGCGAGCAGTATGGTAGTAGTGGCGGCAGCAGGGATCTTTCGTAGAGCCCCTCCTCTGCCCAATAGACAGCTGTTTTTGACAAGCTGACTTGATGTGTGTCGTTTACGCCATCGACACGCAGAAGCCGCTCCCCTCAATGACCTGACCTAGTAGTGCAGTCACTCACCTCAAAATCCCCTTGTCGGTTGAAATAAAAAAAATGGGAAAAACGACCGAAAACGTTGGTCTCGGTGGTGGTGTGGTGTGTGTGTGTGTGTGGTGTTTTCCATTCGCTCTCATTATCAGTGAGTCAGTCGTGGGGGTCGTGCTGACCTTATTCCATATACCATGTAGGTACGCCCCGGCCGGTGATGTGCTGACGAGGCGTAAGTGGGCTGCTACCGGCGCCTACACCGGCGTCTTCACCCGCGGCTGTACTGCCGCATCGCGCTGCACCCTCCTAACTCCCGGCAACATACCGCCTGAACTTTTCTCATCTGACATTACCCCCAGAGTACTTCCTTCATACCCCAGTGAACAATTATTAGGGCTGTCAAATAAATTCAAGTCGTCAGCAAAAATTCTTTCAGCGTTGTTTTTAGTTGTTTTTTATTTTCTGTCTGTTTTAACTGAAATGACAGTACGTCCTAACTCGTCTGTGGTGTTTCAATTAGAGACGGCAAAAAACCCATTATAAATACCCCATTGCCAGCCAGGGCTACTGAGTACATCAATACGCCCATCGAGGGGCTGACGAGAGAGGTGGCCTAGCTCTAGCGCGGCCGCACCGTACAGTATGCTGCGGTCCGGAGCAAGGTCGTCTGGATTCCAGAAGATGTTCCAGTGCTAACAGGATCCTGCGGTGGCGTGGGGCTGCTGACCGGCCGAGCTGGTCACTGCGAGAGGATCCAGAGGATCCAGAGCACTTACAGAGGGGGCGGGGATGGGGGGGATCGACTTATAGTCATGCCACACAGAAACATAGGGCTACGAACGATGCTCCTGCTTGATAGTGGTGCCAAATGTCATAGAGCACGAACTAGCGAAATAATGACCCGTAATCGCCCGTAATATAATTGTTGTACAACCAAACACGACTCCGCCGTGCCGTATGACCCGTCGTGTTCGTGAAGTCCATGTGATGCGATCCTGGCGACACGGTGTCCCGCTTTATTCCGCCTTTGGCGGCATCCCACGTGACTCCAGCCCCCCTCCCCCAACCCGACTTCTCACCCCGAACGACGAAATTGTAGACCTCCTGTTGATACACAACTGTTACAAGGGGATTTCTTGGATGTAACGAGTTTTCCTCCGCTGATGTAAACAGCCGTCAGCATTGACTGCTCCGATATCGTTCGGACGATCCCGTCCAATCCGATCCGCGGGAAGAAGATACGCGTTGGCGATACGAGCACGGTGATTCCATCTGGAGCATCTTGAGGCTGCTCTTCTCCAAGGAGGCGGTCTGAGTCCCGACGTGTGGTGGCCGCGGTCCAACTAGGGCTGCAGCTCCGGGGAGCAGCCCCTGGAGTGGTGTGGCGGCCGGTGGCGTATCCGCTTCACCTCCTCCTCATTCACGGATCTACGTCATGGGGAGAAGAATAATTCACGCCATCAGCCATCAGCCGTTCGCGGTGCCCGAGGGCGAAATGTTTGTCGTTTTGCCGTTATTTTGTAAGAGGACAAAGTGGACAAAGTTAGTTTTCGGGAGCTCACCGTAGCACAGTGAAGAACTGCTTAAAGTAAGTCCTGAACGGCCACCACAGGGCGCCGTCGCGGTCCTGGCGCAGGTCGCGCATGATGCCGCGGTAGCCGGCGACGGCCTCGCGCTGCGCCCGGCCCAGCCGCGCGTCCAGGGCGGGCGTGGGGCTGTCCAGGGTGACGGCCAGCAGGGTGGCGAGCTGCGACTCGAAGCCGATGCCCGGCAAGAGGTAGCCCAGCCCGTCCGCCATGCAGCGCGTCATGTACTCCCAGGGCGGCTGCGCGCCCCGCAGCCCGGGCAGCACGATGGTGGACAGCGTCTCGCGCGCGCGCCGCAGGGTGGCCTCCAGACCGCCCTGGCAGAAGTTGAACCTGGAGGTGAATTATTGCATGCTGATTAATTTGCATGAATCATTTCAGAGCGCGACAGACTATGCAATAACTCAATTAGGGGGCCGTGGAAACAATGTGGGCCGGTCCAGAGACCACGTGGACTTGAAGAGGGATACAAAAATTATGGGGTGCTAAAAGGATCAGTGTGGTCGCTGGAGTCCAAAAAGAGGCTCATTTGTGCGCCAGGGTTCCAATATCATGGGGTCTCCATTGACTCCAATAACCGCCCTGATCCTTTTGGGAACTCATAATATTTTTAACCCCCCTTAAAGTCCACGTGGTTTCTGAATGGTCGCTGACCTGTCGTCGATGCCCAGGGCGTAGCCGAACACCTCCCAGAGGTGCACGAAGCCGTCGAGTTCCTCCCGGGTGGCGTTGCCGATGCCGTACTGCTCGGGGAACTGGAGTACGGGGCCGATGAACGCCCACTGCGTCAGTGACATGTCGTACTGACTCATCCACACGCCTCTTGGCGGACCACGGTGCTTCTAGAGGGGTGCACAAAATTTCACTTTACTCACACCCAGAAAACTGTTTCTTTGGGAAAGAAAAATTGTATTAGGTACACCGAGAATTTCGTCAAGGTTAAACAAATTTTATATTTTATTTGAGCTGAAGATTATTTTTTTTCGCTTCACCCAAAATCGGTGGGACAACCTAAATAGACCCCCAAAAATGTATCGTCAAATTCATGACTTTGTTCTGTGAAAGAAACAGTTTCTTGGGTTCAGGCGTCCAGACACCGAACTAACTTTCGTTTAACGACCTAAAAGAAGTAACGTCCCGGCATGCACATTTTGCCGTCATCAGCAGATAGACAAATGTCTCGCGTCCGTCCTCACCTCCCCGATGCCGTCGGTGTCCTCCCCGGGGCACGCGGCGCTCACCCGGCGGCCCAGGTCGCGGCGCACGGCGGCGCTGATGGGGCAGCCCGAAAAGTCACCGCCGAGGCGGGTCCTGTTGCGCACGCCCTCCTGCGGCCGCTCCGCCATGTCCATCCGCACCAGGTTGTGCAGTGACCGGACGCGCTTCAGCTCCTCGTGGCCGAAGGTGCCCGGCGCGAAGATGTCGGACGTGTACCACGCGCCGACGCCTTTGACCGTGTCCAGGTACCTGTGCTCGCGGAAATGCCCGGCACATGGGATATTTTCAACCACGCAACCTGATAAGAGACACTATACTGTAAAATGTGGTGGAAAGAAGAGTATTATGACTAAATTCTTTTAGAATCGTCTTATCAAGGATTTTCTCTCAACCATCAATTACCTGATGACGAAAAATCCGCGTTGAGGTATCTTTAAAATGTACAGCCATAATATTCTTTTTTTCTAAAGTGCTCTTTTACAGTGCATTATTTTGGAAACGAGATTATTCTTTTTCTTTCTGGGTTTTCGAAAGGGGTTTAAGTACGAACCTGAGGAACGCCCTGTCGGGGGTGTTGGAGTTGCCGGTGTAGACGAGCACGTCGAGCACGGGCTGCACCGCGAGCAGCAGGTACAGCGAGTGCACGTGCCCGAACACGATGGACACGGGGTACTTGAGCACGAAGGCCCGGCCGGCCTCCAGCCGCCTTCGGTCCAGCCATGGCGGCGGGGTGTTCTCCGGGACGCCAGAGTCGCCCCACGCGCGGGGGCCGTCCTCCACGATGCGCCTGAGCACGGGCTCCAGGCGGCCGTCCCTCAGCGCCGCCTTGGGGCACCACAGGGCCGCCGCCGACGCGCCTCTGCGAGCGAAACATGGGCCAACAGTTAAGTGTTGCTGTCGCGTGCAATGAGAATATAGTCCGAGGGGTGACGATGATGTCGTTATGTTGCTGACGATGATGTTGATGTTGCTGACGATGATGTCGATGTTGCTGACGTTGATGGCAACACGACATGACGCGCTCACCTGCCGGGGAAGGCCGCCACCAGCCCTTGCAGCCCTACCACGACCCCAACGCACAGGAGTCCCCCGTAAGACAACGACATCATTCTCGTCCACACAACGGTTTGCAACAAACTGAGGGCCCGCCGCGGGCAGCCGTCCCCTCCGCGGACCGCCTCCAAAACGCATAGACAAGGTGATCGGGACCGAGGGGCATCGCCCGACGACACGGGTTTTGATGAAGGTCAAGCCAAGATTCGGAGATGTGGTCAGTGGTCGCGCTAGTTCCAAAACTCGACAAAGGCAGAAGCCAAGCTACAAATGGCCCAATAGATACGACTGCACCCGACAAGAGAACACACAACAACCCTCGGAAACGTAGGCTTGACATCAAAAAAACAAAACAAAAAAAACACACATTCCGAGGGGTGAAGTGTAACTTAAGTCTCTTACCGTCTTACTGTTTTGATACGTTTGAGATCCTGTATCAAATGCGTCAGATGATTAGGGCGCATATGTTGTACGTACACAGTGGCAACCCTGCCGGCTGCTCAGGCCTCCCCCTGGTCAAATTACAAGAGAACTGTTTTCAACGGGGACGGACGACGGGCCCCCTGCCCGCGCGACCGAGTAGGGGCTATCGGAGGCTCCCGTCACTCATCGTGTGTCTTGTCCTTCGCCACTCGCGCAAGGAATTGTCCAGAATGTGAACTCGCCGTCATGTGAACCGCGAAGTTCGGTTTCTGCAAGCTCTCAAAGCGCCTGGAATGATAGGCAAAATCTCGCCTGCAGTGCATGCGTGTACTGCGGGGTGGCCTACCCCGCGTCTCGCGGGCGCCGAGCTCCCGTAGTTTGCCGAATGGATCTGAGAAAAACACGGGCATACTTTTGCTCTCACAGCCAATATTCAAATGATATTATTTCTCACCGCAATTGCAGCAGCAGGTGTTACATCCCCATGGGGCCGTTCGGGGCCGCTGCATAAGGAAAGGCATGGGCGACCGCCAGTAGTGACTGGCCTATGAACGTGAACCGGCAGCGGCAGATGGCGCGCTCCGCCGAGAGTCTGAAATTATCGAGGTGTTGATCCTTGCGGTTCGATGCTAGCCCGTCCGTCCGCCCGGCGCGACCTCGGACGTGCTCCTCTAGCTGGGCAGCCTCTCGCCGTGTGCCGCGAACCCTGCCTTGAATTTGAACGGTCGAGGACTCCACTCCACGTATAAACATCGCGCCATCGCCGGCCATCGCGCTCCAGGAGCCTCTTTAATCAAGCCGCTTGTTGCAGGCGGTATTACAGTCATTACTCGTCTAGGCGAGAGAGGTGTTCGATGTCATAGCAAATAACATTTTACCGTAAAGTGCATTTGGGAGAGTACTTTACGGAACACTTTTCCCACCTTCCGTCGGCTGTACCCCTTTTATTTGTTAAGTATCAATATATTGATTTATTATAAAAAATGGATTAAAAGCCACATTTGAAGTGATGACATACCGATCGGAAATCAATCCTGATGCCTTCACTGAAAATGCCAGAGTCAGATATCTTACTCTCAGGAGAGTGAGATCAGTGACATAAAAAATCTGACTCTCCTGAGAGCGAGATATCTGACTCTCACCCAATTTGAGGCATAATTTGCGGTCCTCGCCCAATGAGAGTGCGGCTCCCCACTGCAATTAGGCGAAGTCAGGAAAATCTTACTCCTTCAGAGTGAGAATTCGGTGTATATGACTCAAATAGGGTGAGCCTTATAGTCATCGCTCGGATTGAGCGAGACAAAATTGTCTCACTCATTTCGAGCACGACACCTCACTCAAAGGTTTTCGGTGTTAATGTTTATGTACAAGGCACAGGTATACCGTGGATCTACGGAAAGTATAAAAAAAACAATCTGAGATGCATTCTGTCCTAAAAAAAAAAAATCGGAAACAGCAGCCTGGAGGCACGGTTAAAATGTTTGCCTCCATATATTCCTCTGATTTGTTAGGGACTATTATATTGAATTTCACTTTTACTTTGCAATCACAATCGTTGTTAGCGTCATGTTTTTTTTTTTTTTCAAGTAATGTGTTTTAAACGCACAGACAGACAAATACACACCGACGGCATACGCAGCTGATCAAATGGTCGCCG